TTACTGCGCATCTGCATCCCACAGGGTTTGGTCTTAACTACGCTAAGTCAGGGGCTCGTTAGTTACTCCAGGGGACACAACATAATGTCGCCTTTGTGGGAACATGTCTTCTCACTTAGTCTTCAACTTTTAATAGAACAAAAAGGTTGACGTTTACAAGGTTAGCATTTGACAAGTAGCCCATTTTAAACTTCTGCTTTTTGCGAAAGGAACAGAGCTATGAGGTGGAGGATCACTAATGGCTCTCAGAAACCGAAAAGAAACTGAAAAAACATTTGATCCTTGGTAACATTAGTGCCAATTTCTGAGCCTGCGTTTCCCAAATTCAACATCCTATGCCATTTCATTTCCTGGCAGTGGAGAGTGATTAAAACAAAACATTTTCAATACTGAGATATAAGTCTCCAAATTTGCAAATTGCATGTTACACTGTGCCTAATCATAGTTCCTCCTGAGGCAGCTAAAAAAAAAGTGTCCCAAAACTAAATAGCTTGTTGCAGCTCAATTTAAGAAGAATGGGAAAACGGAGCTTGTAATGTACAATCATTTTTAAATACAAAATAAGAATGCTCGGGCAGGAAATCATTTCCGTGTCTGGTAGAGAAGATTCAGGCAGGGCAAGCCCCGGGCTCTGATCCACAGGGTTTTTGAAATCTGGTTCTCTGGCACCCAATCCTTTATCGGGCATACTGAGGCCCTTCCTTAGTTATTGTTTGATGGGTGGACAGCACAGCGCTTCCCCTAAAAGCGTCTGTATTGCATTTCAGTAGAAATGAAATCTGTGATGTTTTCACACAGTTAGTAAAAGATGAAATGTAAAGAAACTTCTCTGAGACCATCACTGTTCTCCCGCAGCCTTTACCCTCAAAATGAGAGAAGAGTGCAGGAAAGTGAGAGCAAGGACATAGCAGTCCACAGTGATAGGGCCTTCCTTGACATTATGTAATGCATCTGAGTTGGTGGTAGGGGATTACATGTTTCAGGAAGATAATAATTATTTGTAAAAAATGTTAATGAGTGATCAGGAGAATAGGAAAAGGCTCACTTGCCATCTCTCCTGACTTTCTCTGGTTGAAAATGGAGAAGATGTAACTTTGATCAGAGTAGGGAATTCTCGTGGCCTTGCTAACCTGGTTTGATCATTCTTGTTTTCAATGGCAAGTTTTGGTTTGAATGTAAAGAATTTAACTCACAGTGCTGGTTGTGACAGAGTAATTAAAGGCTATGCTCTACCGAGCAGGCTAGTCTAGCCTCGGAAGTTCCAACCAAAAGAAATCCTGGGTTTCTTCAAAGATGATTTTCGGAGGCTTTGGGGTGGGGTGAGTGGTGGAGAAGAGGGCAGGGAAGGAGATGAAGAGGCACCTTGGAGACAGGTGCTCTGTGCACTGTGTATTCATTCGTGACCCAGTTTGAGCAAGATTCCAAAAACCAAGGCAGACAAGCCCCCAAGGCTGTGACCAAGCAGGGCCAGCATTCCTGGTGGCTCTGGTGCTGGGCATGCCAGCAAGTGTGGCCCTCTCTTTGCCTCTCCTGTACACACACCCCCACCCTATTCACTGTCCTTCTCTATCAGCAGCAGGCCTATTGCCTGGGTCTTGGAAAGGCAGGCAGCCGGGTTAGATCCAAGCCAGCTGCAGGTAGGACTGGGTTTCCCCTTATGCTCTCTTCTCTACCCACTTCAAGTTGCCCTGGGGTCACTTGAGAAGCCACAGTCTGGCTCAGCTGCTTTGCTCTCTTCTGGGGACACCAACCTGTGTTGGCCACCTTGGTTTCTCCTCAGACACCTGGCAAATGTCCTCCCTGACATGCCCACCCATGGAGTGCTCCACTCAGGAGCTTTCCCCAGCACGCAGCCCCAGAGTAGCAGCTGCAGGGGTGGAGCATAGTTGTGTGCTAGGCCCTATGCCAAGGCACATTGACCTTATCTCATTTCATCCTCACAGCAGCCCTGCAGTTTGGGTATTACTAGTATCACCACTTCACAGATGGGGAGAATGAGGCCTGGAGAGGGTAAGTAGCTTGCCCAGGGAAAAAGTGGCAGAGCTAGGATTTGGACCCAAGCGATCCAAAGCCTGGACTCTATGGAACTTGGCCTTGGGCTCAGCTATAGGGCTACTACCCTGCACTGTGTTCTCTCTCTTCAGACCCTGGGTGCTGGAGATGCTGTACGAGTGGGTGGGGGCTCTGTCTGCCAGGGAAAAGAGAGGCTCACAGATGGGGTTGGCGAGGGGTCTCCCCCAAGGCCCTGCCTCAGATAGAGCTGCCCAGGTCCTTGCTCGCTATCTCTGTAATTGCAGGGTGTTCACTGCTGCCTCTGCTAAGGAGACTCTCAAGGCCTATGTCAAGGTAGAAAGCATATCAGGCCCAGCAGGAGCTTAATCCAGCCTTGTCCAAGGCAGGCGTGACTCCCCTTTCTCTACCCTCTCTGAGTTGTCAAAACAATATCATGTGCCTCCTTGGTCTATTTCTCTGCAGCTTCCCCCCATCCCTGTGCAGCGCAGGCTGCCTCAAGGATCAGATTCCAGAATTTTTTGTTCTTATTCCAATTGGCCACCATCCACATCCCTCCTCCCCATGAAGCTGCACTCCCAGCTCTGCAGATCTGAGCAGGGCTGAAACGCATGTACGCCTAAGGCACAGTGGCGGAGGCCACCTCTTTCGATCCCCATTCTTCCAACCCTTCCACAATGCAACTCCCATATCCTTGACAGATCTGTCTTTGAATCTTTGAGTAAATGTAAGTTCTACTCACCAGCGACTGCTGGTAAAATTGAAACAAATCCTGATCTTGAGTTTTGCAACACACTATGGTATCTCCCATAGACTTCCGGAAGAAGAGACACAAAATTATGGAAACAAAAATCACTTTGCCTTATTTTACTTAAAACTCAATATATATCACCCACCCTGGGAATAGGGTGGGAAATATGGGGAGGTGACCTGGGGACCTGCAATTTCAAGTCTAAGACGCTCTGAAAGAGAATTTGTGTAAATTTGGTACCAAATTTTATTTGGGGCAGAATTTGACCTGGACTTGGTTAAATATTCATATTTATTTCCTTGCAAAAACAAAACAAACAAACAAAAACCAAATGCTGTCCTAGATTCTACCAGGGTTCTGTGATATTTGGTATTTGTACCATATCACCTTCCTAAAGTCCCAAATGTTCTAAATTTGGAATCACATCTTGCCCCGGGGGTTCAGATTCAAGCCCACAAATCTGTACTGCCCTGGCTGAGCACACAGTGTGGGCCTGGCACTGCCCCGAGAAGTCCCAGGTTAGCCTCTCCTTTGTCTTCCTGATGCCCTGTGTGGCAGGGGCTGTTCCTTTCTGCATGCTCAGCTGAGGCTCAGAGGGGTTAAGTGACATCACTCATAGCAACCAGCTCAGTCAGCATTTCTGAGGGGATTCCAGCCTTGGTTCTGTGTCCAGTGCCACACTGAACTGCTGCCCTGAAGCCAGATGGCATTTGACTTTTACCTTAAGTGAAGGCAAATGAGCCATTGAAATTGTATTATTCACTCAACTAGTAAAGTAAAATCCCCTGAATTGAGAAATATTAGTCTGCAAATAAGAATTAGCTACTATGGAAAGCTGGATGGGACACTTTTGCTTACTGTGGACTTTGCGTCTCATCTCATCTTTAGAAACCACTCCTTTAAAACTCTGAGATCTGATTTCAAGTGAATGTCTAGTTTTTACACAGTAACCACTGTCACCCACGAGAAGTGCAGTAAGCTAAAGCTAGTACATGCACGCTATGGGTCATCAGTGTCTCTGCCACTGAACTTGGCCATCAAGAAAACTTGAGAAGTTTCTTTAGCCTGCTGGACTTGACAAGCATGCACTTGCCCACCACCAGGGCTACCCTCTGTCCTTCCAGAGGGGTAACAGTCCTTGCCTCAAACACTCACCTCTTTCTTTCTCTCCCATGGAAGAGTGACCAGGGCCGAGTCCTTAAACTTTAACGAGAGTTAATGGGAAGAAACCATAGAAGGAATGGGGGGATATTGAGATCTCCACTTGAAAGTCTGTGCAGTGTGCCTTGGCTAGTAGAAGGCCAGGCAGAGAACAGTGCGTTGGGGAAGGGCCGAAGGGAGAGTGGGACAGAGCTCCAGAAGGAGCAAAGGGATGAGCCGCAGATTACAAGGCGAAGATGTCTGTCTGTCCTTCCCCACTGGGCTGGGAGCTGTCCAGTAAGGGCAGGACCTAGAGCAGAAAGCACCTGTGAGGCTCATGGGCCGCACACAGCCTCATGGCGTGTGGTCTAGAGAGAGTGCTGCACATCTGTCCTGGCACAGCTCTTGGTTTGGAGGACCAAGAGCCAGATGTGGGGGCTCGGGGTTGGGAGTTAGAGTTATAGTGATAACAAGCCCTTTGTTGGAGCCTACTTTGTGCTGGGCCCTGTTCAAAGTGCTTTAGATGGATGAACACATTTCATCCTCAGGCAACTTGTCATCTCCATATTGTAGAGGACACAGCAGTTAAGAAGTTAAGGTAAGGACGGAAGGCTGCAGAGGACTTTGTAGCTGAAGTCCTGCTCTGGCCCTGACTTACTGTGTGACTGTGGGCAACTCTGATGGCTTCTCTGTGCCTTTCTTCTCAACTTTAAAAGGAATAGTGACAGCTCCTACCGCTGAGCACTAAGACAAGAAAAGTCAGGTGGAGCAGAGCACTGAGTCACATGCCTGGCCACAGGCACAGGCAGCACTGGCTGGGAAGGCAGATCTTGGCAGCAGTAGCGTCACATTTCGGGAGCCCAGGCTCTCGTCTCTGCTGGCAGAGGCATCTGAGCCCTTCCCACCCTCAAGGAGCTGGGCTGCTTGGTCTTTCTCCTGGACACTTGTACCAAGCCCACCTAGAGTACTGGTTGGGTGTGATTGGTACGACCTGTATCATTAAGAATTCTCCCTCTGAGCTAGCTGATTTGGCTGTGGGGCAACTCAGTGTGGCTACAAATGTACCCAATTGAAGACAAAACAAAACAAAAAGGCTCACAATGGTAGCTGGCGCCATGTCTCCGGGGTGAGCATCTTGCCTGCTAGTGAAAGAGTTCCAGTGCGGATGCCGGCGCTCCACCGAGCTAGCTGCAGAAGTCCATGCAAACAGATGGCAACAGCCCTACAATAAAATCAAACCAAAGTGCTCCTGAACTGCGCACAAGGGTCCTGAGCCCCTGGGTGGCTTGTTCTGTCCTCCTGCTTTGTCTGTCTCCCACCACTCACCCTGGCCACCCCCACGGGAACTCCATCAAATGACCAATTCCCAGGTGCCAAGCACTCTGCTTGCTTATGCTCCAGTAGACCTGGAGGAAAAAGACATGGTCTCTATCTCCCTGGGGCCACTGTGGTCGCCCTCACACAAGGCTCTCAAATAAGAGGCAGTTCACTGATAGGTGCTTCCCTTAGGCCAGCTCCCTGGCCAAGTACTTTACAGCCATCTCCTCCTTCACTGCCCCGCACAGGAGAAAGAGGCACAGGGAAGGCAGAAGTACCGAGGACAGCCGGGGGAAAGCTTCCTGGAGGGGACAGTGCCTGACCCTGAGGAGCTGATGGAGCTGGACAGGAGAGAAAAGGTGGGAAGGGAAGGCCAGGTGCATGGGTCAGCAGGAGGAAAGGACAAGACTGCATGGAATGGCCCAAGGACAGCAAGTTCTTCAAGGTTATAGAAATGAAGTACTGGGCTGGGCCCGATGGACACAGAACCTAAGGAGGCTGGTGAGGCCGGGTATGGGCCCCTGGGGACCTCTGAGCCAGTGTGAGATAGGATCGGGTCACTGTTTTGGCAAGGCAAGTCTTAAAGCAATGGATAGTTTACTGGGGGAAACCAGTTAAGAAGCAAATGGATGAGTTCAGACAAAAAACTCAAGAGAAGCTCAATGTGGGCAGTGATGAGAGCAATGGGAAGGAGGGTACTGACAGTGTCCTGTATAGGCGGATATGTGACATGGTCCCACTGAGCCCTGCCTCTTGCTGTTTGCACCTTCTCATAGTCCTGTGGCTTATGTCTAATGAATAGAGTACGGCAAAGTGGTGGGTCCTTACTTCCAAGCCTGTGTTAGAAAGATTGAGACTTCTGATTTGCTGGCACTACCATCCCCATCACACCACCTCACTGGCATGCTCTCTCTTGTTTGCTCAGACGAAGCCAGCTGCCATGTCGTGAGATGCTCTGTGAAGAGGCAATGTGGCAAGGAACCGAGGGAGGCCTCTGGCCAATAGCTCATGAGGAACTGAGGCCTCAGTCCAACTACCTGCAAGGAATAGCTTCCTGCCAACAACCACAAAAGTGAGCTTGGAAGCAGATCCTTGCCCGTTGAGCCTTGAGATGACTGTGGCCAGAAGACCCAACCAAAGTCGTGCCAGGATTCCTGAGCCCCAGAACCTGCGAGGTGACATATGCGTGTGGCTCTTAAGCTGGTGCTTTGAGGGCATTTGTTATGCAGCAGTAAATAACTAATGTGTGGTGGGGGTGCCGAGCAATGAGGAGTGGGAATGGCGTAGATACCACCTGGGCTGAATCAGCTGCACTTAGTGACCGAAAAGCCTGCAGGTGACGAATGAGTGGGAGAAGTCAAAAGTAATTTCTAGAAGCACACAGGCTATGAAGTGAGACTGCTTGACTTCAAATTCCTGCTCTGGCCCTTGCTGTGTGACTGTGGGCAAGTCAGTCTAACTCTCTGAGCCTCAATTTCTTCATCTGTACCTGTCTCATTCCTTCCAAGGTCTGCCCTAGTGTTCAGCACAGTGACAAATGGCACACTGAAGTTGTGAGCAAAAGTTTGCTTTGGCATTTCTAGAAGGCTCAGTGTTCATCTTTATGTTCGCAGGGACAAGATGTAAACACTTTAGTGCAATTTCCTTGCATCCCGAGAAGCTTTGCTAGTCCTAGTTCATGACCCAGTGCAGGGGAAGGCAGTTCTGCTCGGCTCCGACTACCCTGGGAGCCCCTCATGGGTGCAGCTTTCCTCCCAGGGAAGTTAGGTGACCTGACCAGACACTAAAACCGTAAACTTGGCCTCATTAACACTGTGCTTTTACACAGGATTAGCTGACTTCCATAGACTTTTCCAGAGTCGATTCCACTCTCAGAGAGGACCAGAGCCTGTATTTGCTCTCCAACGCCAGGTATCAATAGCATTACATGCAGCTGCTATTTCCAAAACAAAGGAATGCAGCCAGCTCTGAGATGGTCTTACCTGTCTGGGCAGGGTGCTCATGGCATCGGAGGCCCCTGGCCGCTGAAAGCGCGGGGGCTGCATCATCTGCTGCAGGAGGAACGAAGAATGGTCAGCCTGCTGCGGCGGCTGCAGGGTGGCGGTGGCGGTGGAGGAGACGGTGGCAGAAGAAGCCTGCGTGTGTGTGGGCTGTTGCAGGTAGTGGAGCAGGGAAGGCTGCCTCGAGGTGGCAGGCAGGGAGGGCATCTTCTGGGGGCCTGGCTCAGAAATAAAATGGGACAAGGGCTTGGTGTTGCTAAAAGTAAATGTCTCCGGGGCCCCTGGGCTGGAGCCCATCAGCCCCTGCTGCATGATCATGCTCAGGGTTTTGGATGAACTGGTAGTCATGGGCTTAAAGATCATGTTTGCGTGCTGCTGCTGTTGCTGCTGCTGCTGCTGCTGCTGCTGCTGTCCAAGCAGGGTGCTGGTAGGGGTGACACTCCGCACCAGCGAGCACTGTGGGGTGAACGACTGCTGTGGCAAGCCTGGGCTCGACAGCTTCTCCGGGCAATAGGGTGGCGATGGCCCAGGGTTGCTGGCGGGCAGAGCAGACATCAGGTGTCCTTGAGGGTTTTTGATGGTAGAGGACACGAGGTTGGCAAGAATGGAGCTCTGTGGGCTGAACTGTGGCTGTCGCGTGAGAGTGGGGCTGGGGAGTTTCTCGGGAGCATAAGCCATGGCGGGGCCCAGGGCCGCACTGCTGCTGGGCGCCATGCTCGATAGCAGGGCGTTGGGAGAGCCTCGTAGAGTGCTGCCTGACAAGCTGCTGGATGACATACAGGATACCATGAGACTCTGAGTGCTGAATGGCTGTGGCTGTGGGGGTGGTGGAGGTGGTGGCGGCGGGTGTGGCGATGGCACCGGGCGGTAAGGTGGAGAGAGGCCTGGAGGAGGCAGGCCAGACCAACTGGGGCTGGGCCCTCTCTGCTTTGTAGCAGATCCCTGCTTGTTGGCTGCCAGCACCTTCAGCTGGTGGGCATGGTGCCACTGAGGCACTGGAAGTGGGGGCAAAGTGCCAGGGAGCATGGCCTGGACCTGGTTCTTGGCCTGTGCTGTTGAAGAACTGGGTGAGACCATCTGCTTACTAGTGGAAGGGATCGAATAGCTGATCCCTGCAGAGGAGGGAGGGTGTGTTTGAAGTGACACACCAGTGACTTGGCTGCAACTAGAGGCAAACTCCTTGCCGGAACCAAGGCCTTCCAAGTGAGGCATCTGAACTGAAGGCTTGGGAGCCGTGCTTAGAGTTGTCTGGGGATGATCTAGGACCAGTGGCTCTTCTGGCTTGGTTCCCAGTATCTTCTCCAGATCCAGGTCATTTGGAGAAGGTTCTTGAATTTTGGTTAGCTCCTCCAGCAGATCTTGAAGTTCTTGATCTACAACCGGCATGCTGTTGATTTTCTCATAGTAAGGAACAGTGGGCTCTTTCAGCCCCATTTCTGTAGTTGATGGCACCACAAATGGTGAGTCCATAATGCTGCCATTCATGGGATTATTCTCCAGCAGTAATGACTGGTTACTTACTCCTACAGCTGCAGGGCTAGGATTCATTGTTAATGGAGGAACGTGCAGCTCTGCACAGGGGGTACTGGGATGGGCACCTGGGCCCATAGCAAGGGTGACATCTTCAAGGCAGGGCCTCTTAATTTTATTAGGGTAACCCCCATCAGCCATGCCTGGAAACTGAAAGTTGTCTCCTTCCTGTCTCCTCTTAATGGTTCTCTGTGGTTGAAAGGGGAGAGAAAGAGAGGGGGCGAGAAAGAGTGAGAGCAAGAGGGGAAAGAGACAGAGAGAGAGAGAGAGAGAGAGAGAGAGGAATTTTTATAAAGTCTTGTCACATTAGAACTAATGAACAGAAAATCTGCAGGATAAAATAGACCTCTCAGTTTAAAGACTTAAACACTTGTCAAAACTATAAAATACAGCCTATTTTTGGAACCATAGTGCTTGTTTCTTTGTTGCTATGTTTCATTTAAACTGTCTTGTTGCATTTCAAATAAGTCATTATGCTGTCTGCATACAAAACAGGATAGAAAGTCATGCAAAGGGTATTCTTTGCCCACTTCAAGGAGAGTTCAACAAAACTATGCAGAAGTCACCAAGTGAACTATCCTGCCAAAAGCAGGCATTTGAGAGCAAACTAGAAGTAGCTAAATATTTTTAATTCCTGCCTTTTTAGATACACACCAGCTTTAAGAAAAGAAAACTATAAGTTAGACATTGAAATTTTAGGCTGCTTCCCTGTCTTGGTTAAATGTATCAAGCTGCAGTAATAAAATAGAAGACAACAGGGCCCTTCCAGTGACAAAGTGGATCTGGGATCTGGGAGGATTCTTTTAGGTAGCTGTCTAGGATATATTGTTTAGGGGAAACTCAGGTTCCAGAACAGTTACTGTTTCATTATAAGCATCATAGTCATTGCTCCATTTATTTTCATTCATTCTCTATCTCTCTCTGACACACACACACACACACACACATTGTTATGTGCACAGAAAAATAATTTGGAAGAACTTTTATATTCAACCATTCGAAGTGGTCATCTTGTGAGGATGACTGGCAACTCACTTTCTATTTTCTGCATGTCTGTATTGCTTATTTATTATTTGTTTGTTTATTAATTTATTGAGACAGAGTCTCACTCTGTGCCTTCTGTAGAGTGATGTACTGTCATAGCTCACAGCAACCTCAAACTCCTGAGTTAAAGTGATCCACCTTCCTCAGCCTCCCAGAGTGCTGCTGGGACTATAGGCATGAGCCACCATGCCTGGCCAGCTTATTTATTTTTAACAAGAAGGACTTATCTTCCAAAAAAAGAAAAAAAAAAGCATAACGTTATCTAAATAAGAAATTCCTCTCTGCAGATGCATCCTTCGGTTGGGGAGATCTCAAATAACAGGAAAAGGTTCCAACTGGGGATCTGCACCTTGGGGGAACTGCCCACCATTTATAAAAGAAAAGTACCTCATAACACCTAGTAACATTTCCTACTCTTTTATGGCTTCATTCAGTTGATTGTGGCTGTCATGTTAAGACCATGACCTGTATGTCAGCAGGTAAAGAGGAAAAGGGAGTTGGGGGTGAAATAGTATATGTGGGAATGATCAAAACAAGGAGAGGGAGAGCGGGACCTGGGAATCACCTGACTGCCAGCAGGTGAACAGGTACCATCCTTTTAAAGTGCTTGGCTTTGGAAGTCTCCCTAGGACACACAGTGCTTATCCGCTGCTATTGCCTCACCTTTGGCTCTTCTGGTTTGATGAGCTTGTGCGAGCAGTGAGAGCTCAAGGTGTGCACGGGGCCACTTGCCAGCACAACAGCGGTCATGACTCTCACGGCCGAGTGAACATCAAAGTAGGTCCTGAAGGCCACATGTCTCAGGGCTTGCTGCACATCAGAACCCCTTAGAAACACTCCTATTCCTGGGCTTTCCCACCACAAACCGATCATTTTTGTCTCATCCAGGGTGAGGCTCAGGCATTGGGTGTGTTTAAACAGCTTCCTGGCTGATTCTGAATATGGACAGCCAGGCTGAAAACCCCTGGGCAGGCACGTGGGCGGAGGCAATGTGGCATAGAGCCCTGGTACCGAGGCAGAAGCAACTAGGTCTTGGCCTCACCATTGAACCTCTCTGAGTCCCAGTTTCTTCATCCGTAAGATGAGTATAATTATAATTCTCATGCTGCTTGGACTATTAGGTGAAATGGGGAAGATTGGGTGGTACCTAATCGATCCTCACTAAGTGGTACTTGGAATTACAAAAGGCACATTTGGAAGTCCTGGAAGTCCCATCTTCTCCTATTAAAGACAGGGGCCCTCTGACCCAAGGAGGAGGCAGGGCTTGCCCAGACTGTTCAGCAAGGGGGCAACAAGGCCACTTGGCTGCTTCCTGACTGCCTTCCTGCATGCTGGTGGCAGAGCACTGCATCAGCCCCATGGAAGGAGCTCTCCACCTTGCTTTAGAGGACTTTCATACTCCTTAGACTTTTCTTTTGAGATGCCCATGAGGGCATCTTTGAGGGGCAGCTTTGCCACCACATTCATCTGCGGAGGATGGAGCAGGCACGAGAAGAAGAGCATCCTGTCATCTGTTCTCACTTTCCTATCAGAAACCTGGCTGGGCACAGCACCCACAGTGTCCCCAAGCTGTGTCTGGCCCATAGGAGGTGATCAGTAAATAGCAGCTAAATGAATTAATGGACATAGGGCACTCAGCCATTCATTCAGTCAATTATGGAGCAAGCCAATAAACAAGCCACTGGGTCCCAAACTGAAATTTGGTCTCTTCTATATTCTCCCAGAGAATCCAAAGAGATCCAATATGTTAAAAATAGAAATCTATGAAGTAGAACAATCCGGGATGACTGAGTGTGCATTTTACACAAGGCTCCTCTGTAGGGAGTGTGAGCTAGTAGTGGTTGGGCCCAATGTGCTGTTCATGACTTGAAAGACAGAGACAGTGATAGTGAGGTCAGGCCACAACCAGGCAGGCCAAGGGTAGAATGAAGTGAGGGAAGGACAGGAGGCCAGGGGTTATGACAAGCCTCTGAAATCTGCTGGCAAAGGAAAGGCAGCTGCACCTCTCCCGAATGAGAACCTGTGTGCACACAATTTCTCAGACGCCCATAAACTGCATCTCAGCAAATGGTCCTCACTCATTTCCAATTCCAGAACACAACTGATTCCTTCCATAACAGAGCAGACCCCAGGGTGTTCCCATCGGTCGTGGATCTAACTTTCTGGGGTAAATGCTCCTCTTGCTATGTCTAGTCTGCTGCTGGCCAGCTGCTGGCGCTGGCCTCACTGCACATTTCAAGAGGATACCCAAAGAGGGGGCAGGCTCACTTTGCAGTCCCCATGGGTGGCGGGGGCTGCTGACCCAAGTGCCAGGCCGCGAGCCTCTTCTGAGCTGCCTTTTTCAATGGACTGAAATGAGTCTCCACTTTGTTGCAGGTCATGCAGCTCCCTGTTTGGGATTTTATGGTAGGAGCTTTCAACAGTTAGCCTGAAGCACCCTGGCTGAACAGCAAGAACACCAGCCAACCCGACACAAAGCCAAGGAAAGGCGGCTGTGTTTACAGGCAGTGCTCAGCTCGCTCTAATAGCATCTGCTTTCACCAGGCATCGTGAGGCGTGGAAATCTATTATCCAGTTAATTTTGTCCCTAGACAAAGACTAGCTTCGGTGTCTCCTCTTTCATAGTCCCATGATTTGCTGCTCACGTCTACTGTGAGGAGCTGGCTGGTCTTTTCCCCATGCCCAGTGCCACATTGGTGTCTTCACTGGGTCACCTGTGCTGGTGGCTGCTATTCCCTTGGTTCTGTCTGCCCAGCCTGGGCATTTCTGACTGGGTCCTAAGGCCACCATATTAGAGCGCATGCAGCTCTGGGATGACTCCCTCCTCTCAAAATACTGGTTAGGCAGCAAGGCCCCCTCCAACCAAGCTTCTAGATTTTTCTACACAAACCCTCCTGCCTCACACACATGCCTTCTAGTCTCTGTGGCCTTGGTGACAGCAAGCTATTGGTCCTAGCCACCAAGCACGTGACCTTCTCTCTCTGTGACAATTAGTAGGTGCTGACAGGATTCCTAGAAAGCATACCTCAACCTTCTCTTTTTACAGAAAATAGAACAGGATATGATTTTCTGTCAGGCACATAGTTAGTTAAGGAATAGGGACACTTGACTTAGGTGCCCCAAATCCCAGCCAGAGCCCTCAGAGGTCCTGCCTTTGATGGTGGGAGAAGGGGAGGGAGGAAGGGACAGTGTCCTGGTGTCTTTTAGAAATGAATTCTTTCTCTCTACACATAAGTGCCTGTGGAGTCCCATTTCATAATCCAGCAGACAAAGCCATGAATGTGATGCCCATGACCTTATAAACATTCATTAAAATGCATTTCAAAGCATGTGATGCCTCCCCACCCCCGAAACAAGAGGAAACAAAGGCAACCCTTCTGACAGAGGCCAGTCCAGCTCTGAAGTCAACATTATTGCTGGTTTTGTCTGAACAATGGCATAGGGTAACTCTTCTCTTTCTACTTTTTTACTCCAAGATGACAAAAAGGGCAAAGATTTCTTAGAAAAGGTATAGACTATAAGTATACTAGCCAGGCTCATAAAATTGACATAAGGAGGATGAAGAGTATGACTTATATCTATTACTTTTTCCAGAGAGGTAGGGTAGGCCGTTATAAATGCTTGTTTTTAAAAAATTGTTTTTTTTTTTTAAATTTCAGATTAAGATGAGGGTCCGAGTGATTGGGTTACAATGTTTGCATTTGTTAGATAAAGTCCCAAGTTGTAGTTGAGCCCCTCACCCAGGAGGTGTGTTGCATACCCCTACATCGTGCCCATTAGGTGAGAGCACACCAATCCCCTTCCTCCTCCCCTGGCCCTTCTCCCCCTCCCCCACTCGAATCTAATTGTGTTTTTCTCTGGGTGGGCATGTAGTTCTTTATCTACTGCTTTCATGTTAGTATTGAGGACATTGGATATTTGCTTTTCCATTCTTGTGATACTTTACTAAGGAGACTATCATTCAACTCCATGCAGGTAAATATGAGAGATATATAAATGCTTAATTTTGGACAGCCTAGCCGAGGTTTAACATGGACACCAATAAAAGGCCAGCAAAAGATATGAAGAGAAAAGCTGGAGGTCAAAGGTAAGCAGGGAAAGATCTAATCAGGGACCCTCATTTTTCCTCCAAGGGCACTGGGCAT